GACACACAGCAGGGAAGAGAGGCACAGAGAGGGGAGACAAGGAAGGGAGAGACACCAGGAGGAGCAAGGCACAAAGCAGAGAGAGTGTGCAGGGCACAGAAAGGGGGAAGAGACACATGCACATGGGAGGGGGAGAGGGACACTGCAAGGGAGCGAGAGACACGCAGCGAGGGACTGAGATGTGCGGAGATGGGGAGAGTGGTTCTGTGCCTCCCTCCCATAGCCTAAGAGAACTACGCGCAAAGAGAGAGGACGGGGAGGAGGGAGGAAGGGGAAGATACAAAGAGAGACACGCAGAGAGAGACAGACACACACAGAGATTTGGGGGGGGGGAGAGAGAGACAAAAGCACAGAGGAGGGCCAGAGAGCACAACAGAGAGGAACAGGGCTGGGGGAGGGAGAGGCGGAGGGAGCAACAGTGGGAGAGATGCAGGGAGGCAGACAGGGAGAGAGAGAGGCAGAATGAGACATGCACAGAGAGAACTGGGGAGGGAGTGAGAGAGAAGGACGCACAGGGGCACACTCAGAGAGGAGCGGAGATGGGGAGGGCAGAGACCACAGAGAGGGAGAGGGAGCTACAGAGATGGGGAGAGGAATGGGTGAGAGCGACAGCGACCACCAGGGAAGGAGCAAAACCCAGAGGCAGAGGGACAAAAAGAGAGAGGGACACAGAGGAGGGGAGAGAGACCACAAGAGACAGAGTGGGGGAGAAATGCACCGAGACAGCAAGACACGGAGAGAGGTGGAGGAAGAGGGACAAAGGGCAACCACACCACAGAGAGAGCCAGTGAGAAAGACACGGGGAGGGAGAGGGTCAGAGAGCCTCAGAGAGGGAGGAGCAGAGAAAGCGAGAGAGACAGAGGAGATAGGCAGAGAGGCACCAAGAGAGGGAGAGATGAAGGGAGAGATGCACAGACACAAAGAGAGGGAGACGTCGAGATGGAGAGAGGGCGAGATGGGGGCAGAAGGACCAGGACAGGGAGAGATTTAGATACCGAGACCACAGCAACTACAATGAAAGACAGCGCCACAGAGAAACACCAGGAAGGACACCAAGGAGGACCCGGGGGCCGTAAAAAAGAAGGACACGCAGAAGGGAGATGAGCAACAGAGACAGAGAGGAGCAGAGCTACACAAAAGGCAGCAGACACAGTCAGAGATGGGCCAGAGACAGGGACAGCAGGAGGCCTAGAAAAATACACCAGCCCGGGAGCAGGGGGGTAAGAGAGGGGGAGCCAGCTAGCAAGGAAGATGCATGTGGACGCAAAACGGAGACTTCGGGGCAGAGGGGAGGACGCACAGACTGGGAAATGGGGAGGTTGGAAAGAAAGAGGGGACAAACCAAAAGGGGAGAGAAAGAGACAGACAGGGAGAGAGGGATAGGAAGAGAGACAGGGGGGGTAAGGGGGACCATTGGAGTGCTGGAAGGGAAGACAGACAGAAAGGGAGAGAAGGAGACGCACAGGCCCAGGCAGAGCCATAGATGGCCAGAGACAGTCAACGGATGACCAGTAGACAGGCATCACAGGAGAGACAGGAAAACAGGCATACAGGGAAATGGGCAGAAAGAGAGAGAGGGAGGCGGACACAGAAAAGAGGGAGACCCACAGTTGGAACCCCAGAGAGGCAGAGGGAAAGGAGAGAGAGACTGTGCCAGAGGGGGGTGGAGAGGAAGAAAGACACAGGCAGAAGGATGGCGGTACGGCGAGATGGGTGACCAGGGGCCGGAGAAACAGAGCGCCATGGGAAGGGGGGCGGACACAGAACCAGGAGGGACATGTGCCCATAGACGAAGAGACTGAGTGAGACTTAAAGGCGGGGGGGGCACAGGAGACACTGAGAAAAGGGGGTGGACGGCATGATGCAAGGAAAACAGAGAAAGACTCCAAGAGATGGGGACAGAGACCCGGGGAGACAGAAAGACGGGGCAACATGGGGACTTGTGGACGATCCCAACAGAGACCAACAGAGCAAGAGACGCTCACAGAGGGACAGATGGAGAGCTGCAAAGACTGATATGGCCAGAGGCTGCACAAGGGGAGATGGGGGACCGAGAGTGAGAAGGGGCAGGGGGGAGGCGGGAGACAGGAACGGGAGGAGACACAGACAGAGCAAGAGAGAGGCAGGGGCAGAGATGGGCACGACGATCGGGATGCAGAGAGAGACCACCAGACAAAGGGAGACAGAGAGAGATGCAGACACAAGGGCACGGATGGCATGATGCAGGGACATCGACAAGGACTCAGAGAGATGGGGACGGAGGCATGGGGAGACAGAGCATCCAGGGGAGATGCGCTGGCAGAGGGAAAGGCAGTTAAATAATAAGAAGGATGCAGCACAAGACTAAGGGAGAGATGACAGGAGAGAGAGGGGAAAAAAAACCCATAGACAGCAGAAGCCATGAGGACAGAAAGACAGTCAGAGGGAGAGGGACAGAGACGCGGAGAGACAGGGATGGAGGGACAGAGACAGACAATGAAGTGGAGAAGGAGACAAACACAAGGGAGACAGACAGACGGGGAAGGCACAGAGAGACCCAGGCAAGTGAGACAGACAGAGGGAGACACAGAGACCTAGAGAGGGGGGCAGAGACAGAACAGGGGGGCAGAACAAGGGAGAGGGACAGAGAGGAAAACAAGACAACAGGGGAACGGAGTGGAGGGGAAGAGAGAGGCAGAGGGAGAAGAAACAGGAAGGGGGGAGACAGAGAAGCGTAAGGAGGTGGGGAGGCATAGGGAGAATGAGGACTGAGAGACCTGGCGGAAGGGCACCCAGAGAGAGAGGGAGGCACCAGGGGAGGCAGACGGGGAGCCAGGGACGCAGGGAGGGGTGAGGAGACAGGGAGCGACGGGCAGAGAAAACCAAGGACAGGAGGGAGGATGGGAGAGACAGACACAGAAAGAGAGACACGGAGAGGGAGACGTAGGAAGAAAATGAGACAGACTGACAGAGAGGGAGAGACCCCCGGGGCAGAGACACAGAGCCGTGGATGGACAGAAAACACAGACGCCCAACCAGAGAGCTGGATGTCAAAAGGAGGAGATGTGGGGAGACCGACAGGCGGCCGGCTGGAAAGAGTACCGCAAAGAGGGTCTCAGAGGGAGATGGGCAGAGAGAGATGGCAAGAGATGGAGGAGGGGAGAAGGTGACCCAGAGAGACACAGCAAGTGGCAGGGGGCAAGCAAAGCAACGGGGGAGACACACACACAGGGGCAGGAGAGACAAATGGAGACCAAAAAAAGGAGGGAGACACAGGGACACAAAAACCACAGGGGCAAGGAGACAGGCAGAGGGCCGTGCCTAGAGACAGAGGAACGGGGAGACCGAGGTGCAGAGGGAGATGCGGGGATGCCAAGGGTCAGATGGCGGCACAGAAGAAGGAGCAGGGACACGGGGGCAGAGGGGATGCAGGACAGAAAGGGGAGAGACCAGGATCCACAGACAGACAGGGAGGCAGACAGAGAGATGGAATAGAAGACAGAGGGAGAGAGGGACACAGAACAAAGGAAATAAAAGCAAATTAAGTAGAGAGGAAATGAAAGGAAGGAGACATACCCGGGGTGGGGGGAGCAGACAGAGGGGGACGCACAGACAGCCACAAGGACAAACAAAGGAGCCAGGTGGGTGCGGGACACAGACACAGGACATCGATAGAAATGGGCAGGGAAATGCCAAGAAAGAGGGAGTCACGCATAGGGCGGGAGGCCCGGACTGAGAACCCAAAGCAGCCAGAAACAGAGAGATGGGGCTCCAGAGAGAAACCAAAAGAAGGAGACGGCACTAAAGGGGAACACGCCGAGCCATGGAGACACCCGGGAAGAGTTAGACACAGGTCAAAAACCCCAGGAGACACTCAGAGAGAGACAGAAGGGGAGGGAGGAATGGCCAGTGCAACTGAGGCAGCAAAGGGGAGGGAGACAGGGAGTGGGGGAGAAGGCAACGCCAAAGAGACGGAGACGCCGGGAGGCTGAAACCAGGGAGATGGCAGGAAGGACTCAGGGACAGACAGAGAAAGACTGTCAGAGACATTCAGGGAGAGACAGAGACACACAAATGGGCAGAAACGGACATGGCAGCATCCAAGAAACAGAGGGAGCCATCTCAGACAAAGGGAGAGAGGGGGACCGAGAGGGACAGGGCAAAGGGAGAGACACATAAGCCAAGAGAGAGATGATGTGAGAGGGAGCCATCACAGAAAGACGAAAAGAGAGAGAGGGGATTCAGGAAGAGAGGTCAGACAGAGAGCTTGGGGCTGAGCTACCGGGGGGCAAAGAAAGAGGAACACAGAAGGACAAAACAACACAGAACCAGGAGGGGTGGGGGGGTTAG